CCAGATGTAGAGCCTTCGTGAATAAACAAATAAAAACACATAAGTAAGCCTTGACCAGCTGCTTGCTTCGTGCTAACCCTACCTTAATGTAGAACGGGCCTGCATAGTCTACGGCACAGTTTAAGAAAGGCCTGGATGGAGTCACTCTTTTTTCTGGCAGTTGACCTAATAATGTACTAGCTGTAGTGGGTTTAACCTTAAAGCATACGACACACTCTTTGAGCACTCTACGAACCTCATTTCGTCCCGCGATTGGCCAAAAGCGTGTGCGTATATGCGCTAACAATGCTTGCGGTCCCGCATGTAGAAGCTTGCGATGCTCATAGGTAATCAAAAGCTTGGTGACGACATGACCTTTCGGTAGAATTATTGGATGCTTAAAATCATAATCGAGGTTGGAATGTTTCAATCTACCGCCCACCCTCAGCAGCCCATCGTTGTCTAAAAATGGATTTAAATTTTTTAGTTTACTTTTATTGCTAACCACAGTTTTGTTCATTAACAATTTTCTCTCCTCGAAAAAAACTTGAGTTTGAGCAAGCTTGAACAAACGTTTCATAGATAAATCAAGTTCTTGACAATTCAATGGACCAGTTTGAAATGGCATTTTCAGAGCATTATTTTTAAAGCGTAAAATATATGCAACTACTCTTTGTAGCTTTAAAAATGAAGAGAATTTGAGAAACAAAGATAAGTCGGGTTCAGTGGCAATCATAATTTTACTGGTAGTTTTTCTTTCAGGGGTTTCTGCAATTTTTATTGGCATGCTAGCTGGCCAGTCATTGAAAACACGTTCTAGCCATTCAGGACCGTGCCACCATATTTTGGAATCACTCAGTTCCAATGGGTTAATACCTCTGGATATAATATCCGCTGGGTTATCTTCAGAGCGAATGTGTCTCCAATTATTTTTGTCAGTCAACTCTTGGACCTCCGCTACCCGGTTTCCGACAAATGTTTTCCATTTGTATGGTTCGTCAAGGATCCATGTGAGAGTAATGCTGGAGTCACACCAAAAAAATAATTGGTCGATATGCAGGCTGAGCGATTTCATAGCGGCATTGCTTAATCTCGCACCCAGCAGTGCACCGCAAAGTTCTAACCGTGGTAGTGTTATAACTTTCAGTGGCGCTACTCTCGATTTAGCACATAGCAAGTTCGTGGAAATGACACCTCGAGTATCTACGGATCTGACATAAATGCAGGCTCCATAAGCCGTTTCAGACGCGTCGCAGAATGTATGCAATTCGATCCTTATCGGACTCCTGCAAATAACGTGGCGAGGTACTGAAATATTTTTCAAGGACTGCATTTGTTCTTGGTAGGTTTTCCAGGTGGTGTAAATCTGCAGTGGAACACTTTCATCCCAACCTAGCGATAGTTGCCATAGTTGTTGTAGCAGAATCTTTGCCCTAATTATTATTGGACCCATCAATCCAAGAGGGTCGAATATTTTCGAAATGAACGATAAAATCGTTCTTTTGGTTACATATTTAGATGTTACACAAATAGTTTGCAAATTGTAGAGAAAACTGTCATTCTGGCTATTCCAGACTAACCCCAAGGTTTTGGCTTCCTTATTTTCGGAAAACTCCAAATTTTCAATGTTCAAATTTTCTTGAATAATTGAGGTATGATTTGACCTCCATTTCCGAAGCTCAAATTGACCTTGGAATAATATTTCTGAAATTTCCCTCTTCAATTGTAGGGCCCCCTCGATGGTATCAGCGCCTGAGATGAGGTCATCAACGTAGAAGTCTTGTTTGATGATATTGCTTGCTTGGGGCTTCCTGGATAAATTTTCTTCAGCTAGTTGATGCAAGCACCGCACTGCCAAAAAAGGAGCGCAAGAGGTTCCATATGTGACAGTATTTAGGGTAAAGGTTGTCAATGGCAGTCTCTCATCACTTCTCCAAAGGATCGCTTGAAGATGGCGTTGACTAGTCTCAACATTTATCTGCCGATACATCTTTGCACAATCAGCGGTTATAACATACAGATGTTTTCGAAACCTCAGAAGAATTGAGAACAGATCTTGTTGAATGGTTGGTCCAGTCATTACCACGTCATTTAAGGACATTCCTGATTCCGTCTTGGCAGATGCGTCGAACACTACCCTTACCTTTGTTGTTGAAGAAGAATCTTTAAACACACAAGTATGTGGCAGATAGTTCAGCCCTGGCGAGTCAGAATTCACCTCGGACATGTGGCCAAGTGATTGGTACTCATCCATAAAAGCAACATATTGCGCCTTCAAGCTGGTGTTATTGTGCAACCTTTTTTCTAAGGCATTGAATCTTTTTAGCGCAATTTCCCTGGACTCGCCCAATCCTGTTATCGCATGCTTTAAAGGAAGCTGAACCGAAAATCTTCCATTTGCCTCACGTGTATGAGTGGATCGAAAGTTTTCCTCACAAGCCTTTTGTTCAGAAGACCACATTGGCCTCGTCTCACAATGCTCTACCTGCCAGAAACGTTCAAGTTGCTTTTGCAAATCCAAATTCAAAGAAAAATGACACATCGTCTTACTAGGATTATTGTCTATATTAGCAACTTGACCTGACAGGATCCAACCCAATTTAGTTTTCTGTGCTAATATTTGAGTATTGGCTAATTTGATCTGCCCAATGCAGAGTAGATTCCAAAATATGGATGCGCCCAACAAGGCATCGATTTCAGAAGGTACATTACACAATGGGTCTGCTAAGTTTATATTTTTAGGTATTTGAATATTTGATAAATTGATGTGGTTTACAGGCAAGTTTTCAGTTATTTGATTAACCATAAGAAACGAAAGATTAATTTTGAAATTATTATAAACTGATTTGATTGTTGCTTGCGTTTTTTGTGTAACATTTGTACAAGCTTGACTCAAACCGGAAATAGGAATATTTACACTTTGTTTGGGTAACTTAAGACGTGCACAAAGATCCTTCGTAATGAAATTACTTTGTGAACCTGAGTCCAAAAGAACTTTGCATTTATGCAGTTTACCAGAATAATCATTAATGAAAACAATAGCCGTAGATAACAAAACCTGATCGTCTTTAAATGTGGTATGAACAGACACTGACTTCTTTTGACTTGTTACACTGTTTGCACCCTGTTCCTCAGAATCCTCACTGTTATCAAAATGCAGTAACAAATGATGTTTTTTGTTGCACACACCACAATTATTGTCCACCGTACATAACTGAAAAGAGTGACCTCCACCCAAGCAATTCGCGCATAATCTATGTTTTTTAACCTCGAGGTACCGCGCTTTGGGTGATAAGCTTAAAAACTTGTCACAAGTATTCATTTCATGAGCGTGTTTACAAATAACACATGCTTTGACAGAAAAATAATTGTAAGACTGATCCTTATTGGTGTCATGTTTAATATTTCTAGGAAACTGTGGAGGGGGTGGTTTTGTGTCATGTTTTTTACAGCTTAATGTTTGGAGCAAATTAAATCTTTTATTTAGAAAATCTGTGAAATCTTTCATAGTAGGGGTAGTTAATGGCTCGGAAAATGTTTCCCATTCCCGTCTAGTAGTATTGTCTAATTTGGAACAAACTAAATATATGAGCAAAGTGTCCCACTTGTCTACGGGCTCATTCAAGGATTCTAAGGCGCGTAAATGCTTATTAAGATTGTCTAATAACAGTCGCAGACCTGTGTGAGACTCTCTACTCAAAGAAGACAGCTCGAAAATTGCACGAACATGATTATGTATAATAAGCCGTCTATTGTCATATCTGTCTTTGAGTAATTGCCAAGCTACTTGATAATTTGGTGAGGTGGTCTCAATGCCAGATATAACATGCGCAGCCTCATTTTTCAATGAGCTTCGAAGATAATGAAAACGTTCAATATTAGTTAAGGTAGGATTATCATTAATCAGAGCATTAAAAGAATCATGAAAAGTCATAAACTCGTCATAATTGCCGGTAAAAACTGGTAAATCTATTTTGGGAAATCTTACACCTGGAATTGGAGGGAGTCCAACATTTTGATTAGACTGTGCTGCGGTTTGATTCGGTACATTTGCATCTAAAATATTACTTGCCTCTGAAACAACACGATAGTAAGAATCCTCAAACCCAGCACGTTCCTCATCGTTGGTGTTTCCTGCATCACCCTCCTCAAGCATTTCTACTTGCACTTGTACTTCATCAAAATCATACAATAACTTTCGACATTGCTCTAATCTTATTTTCAATTGGGCAAAATCGCCTCTGAAATTAGTAACAAAAGTCCTAAATCGTGAAAGCTGACCCTTTAAACTGGCTCGTTTTTTCTTAAAAGTTTGTAAATCGGCCATTTTCAATTTATTAAATTACTGTGAGTACAAATTATCAATTATTGCGAGTAAACGGTCATGCAAAAAATATCAGAATTATTTGTAACACTACTATAGTGCAAATAGAAACCCAGCGAAATAGTAAAGGATATAGAAAGATAAAAAGGAATTATACGACCTGGTGTATCACGGCTTCTTGAAGACGTTTTCCTCCAATCGGCACGAAATAGTCTTTTCACAAGCGCGAACAGCGGGCTCGAATAATTAATAATTCCCAAAAGAACGAAAATCGGGAGCCGCCCCTAGCTTTTTCTTCGGTAGGTACTACACGTTGTATCACTACCTTGTACCAGCCCGGCGGCGATGATACGCGCTCGTCGCTGACGTCACTTTCTCTAGCCTCGCGACACCAATCTTTCAGCACCCTCGAACACCCGGGGTTTCGACTTCAGAACGAAGCACCTTGAAACGAGGCTAAATGTCCGTCCCCGAAAGCTTGAATATGGTTGCAGGGCGTACTTGAGAAAATCGATAAAAGCGCGCACTAATATTTTAATTTATATTCAAATTCGGACTCGAAGGACCAATGTAACCGCAATGGCATGTTCTCGGATTATTTAGAAATGACTTTCACATTTGTTTGTACAAAAAAACCAACTTTATTAACTAAAATAAATACGAAATAAAGTTAAAGGTCAAGAACGAAACAGGTTGTACGAAAGTCTCTATTGAACTCGCCGAGAGGGCGAAAGGCAAGGGTCGCTGTAGATGGCTCTGGAGCGGCGCGGTGTTGCCGGTACGCTTCAGCCGGTATTCGTAGTTTTTAGTTTAAGATTGGCTATTATACGATTTAGATAACTAGTGAATATTGTAAGAGTTGTAAAGAGTTAAGTTGTTTGAGTTAATTAGTGTCAGAGTTACTACTCTGTCACTAATTACTTCTACTACTACTAATTACTACATGGAATAAATTATTGTTGTGTTAACTGGATTTTGATTTTTGAATAAACGGACCCAAGATTTCTCCCACGCACCCCAGAGTCGTGACACTATTTTTAAATGTGGCAAAAAAATCACAAACACGTGATTTTTTGTTTAAATTTATTAGGTGATTTTTATTTATTAATTTATTTAATAATCTGACTGAAATCTTGCAAAATATTGTTCATTCTCGGTTGCATCCATGCATCTGCATGAAAAAATATCATATTACCATATTCCTGGCATGTGAAAGTGGCCTATTGACACTTGTGTGAACCGCTTAATATCAATGCTGCTTTTGATTCTGACATCTTGAAGATACATACAAGCCCTCAACCTCAACTATAAAGTTTTAGGTACCTATATTTTAGGTAGGTAGATTCTGGAAAGAGCTAGTGAGAATGTGGATACATGAAGATGTTTTTTTGTTATTATAGGTTTTGCAAAGCTATTGTTGTTCACACTTATTTGTGATGCATGATGCATTTTTTTTTTTTTTTTAAATATGGCTCAAGATTAAAAATAAATTATTTATTTTAATATACAAGGTGTTTCCGAAGTTGGCCTCCCAACATCAAGGTGCGATTCCTTATATTCAATAAAAAAATTATTGATATCACAAAACTAAAACCGTCGATTTTATTGAAACTATTTTCATGTAATTAGATTAGGCTTGATTATTTCAGTGGCGTCTAGAACCGTTTTGTTGAGATAAAAAAGTAGGTAAACGTCCACAACACAGAACCCTGGGTAATATTACATTCTTATACATTTTAGTTGAGCAATGAGCAAAATTTTCTTTTGCATTTTCTTTACCTTGGAGACAAAATTAACTTATCATGCGTCAAAACTCACGAGAGACGAAAGAAAACGAGAACAGCTCTCTCGTCTCGTATTGAGGATCTCTTGTCGAGACTCATTTTCTCTTGAACCTTCGAGACAAGACGAGAGAGCATATTCTCGTCTGGTCTCGCGGCATCACTAAAAATGAGTGTAATGAATAAGTTTTTCCATGTAATTCTTCTGTAATAACAAATAGGGGGCATATCTTTCGGCCAAAGGATGATAAACCCGATAGTGAAGCATGAACTACGTTTTTCTAATGAATCCAGCGGTTGGAGGAGGTGAGATATTGGAATCCGCAGTGATGGGATAAGTGGGATCCATCCTAATATCACTTGTTCCAGGAGACTGTTTTTCAAATTTTGGAGATGGCAAAGGTATTTCTATCGCCATAGTCTGTTGAGGAATCTTATTATCTGTTTGGATGTTCATTGATGTATAGATTTCCTTAAGAATCATTAAAATAGTGTCCTCAGATTCCCAGTAACATACATGACTCGTCAAAGCAAAAATATATTCGTTAAAAAATTCCAATGGGGCTTCTTGTAGGACATAGTCAATTCTTCTTCCTTTATTTAGCTGTCCCAATGGAATGTCTGTTTGTTCTTCAATAGGTTCTGTATCTAATTGCACATCGTCTTCTTGATTGGTTTCCAGTTGGTTTTGAAGATTTTTATTGACTTCGGCTTCCAACGATGGTTGGTCAGACCTATGGAACATTGCCAATTGATAAAATGAATTCCAAGTACTTTTCATGGAGTCGAAAACTTTTTGTTTAAGGTCGGCTCCTACTCTTGCCATCGTTTCTTTGAGTTCTGGAACAAAGAAAACCTTATTGTATTATATTTTTATATTGAGCAGTCAAACACAAGAATAGTGTTCAATAAATATTATTCACTTCTGAACTGTATAACTTATTTAATTAGTTAACGGAGGACTCCTAGAATAAAAACTAAGAATGCGACTAACCATTTATCGGTCGCGCGACCCGTAGCCACGTCTTAACCGATAATGCATAAAAGCCTTAAGGCCGTAAATGTCATGTCAACATTTTTATAAAGTGAGAAAAATTTGAAGTGCTCTTGCATTTGATATCTTTTAACTTACCATAACTCGAAAATGACTCGTTGGATTTTTTTTAGAATGTCCAGGAGCACAACATATCCAAATTTCAGAAAATTTCACTGAAAGCCATTTTCCATAAGATTAGTCCCTTAATCAAGATTTAGATAGTTTTTGAATAATTAAAATTTGGTAATCCGTTCTCTACTGGCGCACGAAACGTGAATAAATGGGGCAGCGAGGCCAATTTCAGGGTCACACTCCTTACTTTGACGAGCTTAGGGCGTTAACTATAAAAGATAGAATAGGGCTGTCGCACAATATTTTAATCACCATACCCTAAAGAATTTTCTTCATTTTTTTTTTTCAATTTCGTTTAGCAGTATTAGCAGCGTTCTACTACAACTGCCATTTTTTTTGAAAACCGCCTCCATTCAGCGAGCCAACCCCCTAACCTGCTGCAAACTGAGATTCTGACTCATTATGTTCATCTGAAGAAACTGGCAAAATTTAAAAACTATACTATTTGTTTCTCGCAAACCACGTTTTTTTTGCTTCATTACCTGGACTAATAATCGATGAAAGAATGTTTATGCCAAATTTGAGCCAATTCTGATGTTTTTTTTTCTGCTTTGCAGACCAATTTAAAAAAAAAATCAACCAATCAGAGCACAGACTGACAGATTTTAACGTCATTACCGTTCTCTTAAGACGTCAAAAAAATAATTTAGATTCGACCAAAGTCGACAAAGTCAATTTTACAACTGGGAATTTGGGTAGCCAGCGTTGCGTTTGCAAAGTAGAAGGCCAAAGCTGATCGAAATTATAGACCACAATTCTGAACACACCTAATACTATTAAAATTAGTCAAAACAATGTATCAATATAAAACAAAATACAGTACTTTACACCTAATTTCTCACCTAAATGCATTCGTTTCCTTCCTTTATGATGGGGAATAAGCACAGGCTTCAATTTAGCCGATTCAGGATTTATCAGAGCCTCTATTCGGTAGGCCACTGGATCGTACGGATGGAAAACATTGAAAAAAGCTGGGCAAGTCGGCAAAGCGAAATTCTCTCCTAGTTTATGAAGGCCTCTGACTGTGACGAACATACCAATCGGGCTACCAAGAGCGAAAAATGCTTGAGGCTGGAAATTAAGATGCGGATAGCTAATCTTGGGTTGTCCTGCACCAACAGATCCCATCATATGACTGATTCTTCTCGAAAATTTTTTTTCGTCAGGAGCATTGCCATCACTAAGATCATCTGAAAATAATAAGGTTTTGAATATCCAATAAAATCGAAGAATAACATTTTTTCTACTCTACTTTCTGCACGAATTATGTAAGTGCCGCTTTCCCGTAATCATTTGAGAAAAAGTTAACTCTTCCACAAAAACCACGATTCGGGGATTATTGGTATTGATTTATCTGTTAAAATAATCCGTTCATTATTTCTAGTTAATTATACAGGGAAAACAGTCCACCCCGATTTTTTGGATTTTAAATGAAAATCTGGAAAAACGCTCGCACACGCCGATTTTTGATTTTAGGCGGAAATATTTTTCAGTTTATTTTCATCCCCCTTCAACTTCAACAGTACCGCTTTTACTCCCACTAAAACAATAGTCTATTTCCAAGATTTTGACACGCTGTCATTTCGTTACGGATGGAAATAATAAGGGCCATGAAGAACTCGATGAGACCTTTAAAAAGAGGTATGACACGACCCCTATCCCCTATTCAAATTTGGGGGGTTGTTCCCCTCAGCTAGGGGGTTGAAGGTACGGGGATGAAAAAAAACTGAAAAATAGTTCCCCCTCAAATGAAAAATCGACATGTCCGAGCGTTATTCCAGATTTTCGTTCCAAATCCAATAAATCGGGGTGGACTGTTTTCCCTGGTACACCCTGTATATGTGATTTTTGCATTGTAGTCCCTGATGATGGACGACTAGGAACAATAGGAACATAGATGTTTGGTATTAATGTACACTTTGTGAAACATTGTAGAGGAGAGATTGTTGACGTATTTTCATTTTGTGTATGTTTCTTGATGTCAAGCATATTGTAACCATTCAATTTGTAAATTCATTTTGAGCGGTTTGCTCTTTCCTGTAGCCAAAACATTTCAATATCAGAAAGTCTAGTGAACGCCAAAGCTCAAGAGATAGCAGCAAGATGTAACGTTTGCTAACTTGCGATGGTTGGCTAGAGAAGTGGCCTTAGAGGTGATACCAAATATAGTACAAACCTGCATTTTGAAGTTTTTAAGTTGCTAAGACTTTCTCAACCTCCCAAAAGCATAAACTCGAGTGATGATAGAGCTCGCCAAAATAAAAATGAGAGCTCCCATAAATTTTTTCTTTAAAACGTTTTAGGCAGACCTCTACAAATTTGGTGTGAAAAGTTATTTTTTTGTTGATTTTCAAGAAAACTCCTAAAGCAATTTATTTGAAATTTACTAGAGGCAGGTTTTTTTTTCAAGATAAACCTATTTAGCCCAGGATTATTAGGTGAAAATTAGCCAGAGACACAAAATGCTTTATAACAAGCTGAAATTTGGTACAATTATTCTAGGTGTAATATTGAGTCGTCATTTAAAAGTCCCCACACCTCCCCCGCTTGCATCATGAGATATTTAATTATACAGGTGTTTATTTTGAAACTTACTAGTTATTCAACATTGTCCGCGTAAATAGGTAGATTTGTGAAATTCGTCGAAGCATGACAACTAATTTGTTGAGTGTGAATGTTTTTCACGAAAAATTATTCACCCCTTAACCCTTTGACGCCTAACGGGACTTATATGTCCCAGCAAGAGTCTAAAAAATTCTGCTGGGCTTATTACAGCTCTTAAATGTATAGTATGGGATCCCAGCAGTAGTTTATGGACTCATTCAAATATTTTGGCGAATGCGGTAGGAAATCTCACAACACTTTTTCGCGGAAGACTTCAGTCGTTTGTTTACCTCGTTCGCCGCCACATGTTCGTTGTTTATTTTCGAATTTTTGAGTGGTTTTCGTCACTATTTTGTGCAATAAATGAAAATTAATAGTGGTAAAGGTAAGTACCAACTAGTTTTGGGGTTTTGTATAAAAAAAAAATTGCCCTCTATTATATTTTATAAGAAATAAGACTGTGGGACATATATGTCCCATGAGTATTTTTTAGTGGGATATATTTATCCCAACAGTGACTTTCATTCTTATTATTTTACCCAGAATGAATCGAAGACCACTTTCTCAGAATGAGTTGGAGATGCTGCTAGAGGACCAGTCCGATGGAGAGGATCCTTTTCATGCTTCGGACGAGTCGGATAGCGATTATCTGCCATCTGATGAAGAAACAGATAGACCACAATCTCCGTTTTCTCCAATGGAGGAAGACGAAAACAGTTCTGACGATGAAGATCATGCTCTCAACCAAAACATGTTTGGCCGAAGAACTGATAGGAATTGGAAGAGAAGGAGCGAAAATAGTACGAAAGCGAGCGACAGGAAGACCGTCAAGCTCATCGAGACATTTATATAATGTAGGCGATCATCTGCCCGTAGAAGGACGCACTCGTCGAAGATGCTTTAGATGTGCGAAAAAGAAGAAAGAAGTTCGGACAAAAATCATGTGTACTACGTGTGATCTACTCTTCTGTAAAAAATGTTTTACACCTTTTCATACTTGAATGTATAAAAATATTTAAATAAAACAACTATTTTGAAAATATAGCATTTCATTCCACATGCCTTATGGGACACATATGTCCCATGTCCCAGTCCTGAAGGGACATATATGTCCCATACTCAAAAATCAATAAGAAAATATTTAAAAATTCCAAAATTGTAAATTTTACATGTTTATGGCATATGTTTTTGAATAGTGATACAAGATATGACAAAATTTAATTGAGCAAAACTCGGCGTCAAAGGGTTAAGCCCCCCTACCTTAAAACCGCCACCCAATTCTTTTAAAGGGGTTGTGACCCTAAACGACTAAGCTTCTTAAATCAAGAAAAAAAATCTACGAACCCTCGTAGAAACCGCAGTCCTATATTCAGAATAGTTTCTGAGAAAATTCCTTGTAAAGATAAATTATGCGGGAACTTGTGACGTCACATCCGTCGAAATCGTAGTCTTCTGTTCGTTCAGTCGTCAGTGAACCGTACCCTATACTTTGAGTGGTTGCAATTCATTCCAGTGAGATAAATGTCTTTTGTTTTGGAAAATTCTTTCACGTGTTAATACTGTGCCTGATAATCCAGTGTGACGTCACAAACACCGAGTTGTAACTTTAAACCGCCCTAACTTGAAAACGGACCATCGTAGCAAGATGCGGTTTAAATAATTATTCTAAGAAAACTTTCATGTTTGGGTCACACGTACCCCCTCTAAGACACAGCGCGCGGGTGTAGACATAATTTCAAATAGATTTTTTATTCTGTACATTTTGATGTCTCGTCTTTACCGTTTTTGCGGGATTTGGACTTCGAACCTAACCTCTAGACCCTAGGGCTACCAATCCAAATGTGGAAGATATGGAAAAATAAAATGTAGAGAATAAAAAATCTGCATTATTATTAAATTAACGTTTTATTGAATAAAGCAAAATCAATTAAACACAAATGTTTATTATTGTAAAGCATTATATTACATTCACTGGTCCGCATGCCCGAAACACGTTTTTCACGACTCTATAGAAAAAGGGAAAACGACTTCAAGGAGGTCAACAAAAACGCAACAAAGATGTGAATAAGGAGAATTTGGAAAAGTGCCGGATCGATATCAGCAACTGAGAGACGACGGCGGGTAGTCCACGACGAACCACACACTTTTGAAGAACAGCATCGCAGACACGAGACCGAAAAAAAATACCGTGGGAAGGAGCGAGAGAATGGAGGCTGGGTGTGCCATGACTGTGGAAGAGTGTGCGGCTACAGAATTGGTTTACGTTTTCATCAGAAAACTCACAATCGACGGACGACAATAAGAATAGAATAGAAGATATACTCGTACCGAGTGATCGCCTATGATGATGATGAGATTGTATGTATTCGTGTATTCGGTCAATCTCTTCTTTGTATGCTGATACCGGCTTCGTCTCTGACAACGAAAGAGGATTCTGGCCTTCAGGAAATAATGATCACCACCTCTGCATAGTGGTCCACGTTGGTCTGCCTTTTTGTACTTTCAATATCGTTTCTGACATCATGATAAGATTATTGGGATTTTACTTTTATGAAACAGTCATTTAACATTTAATCAATACATAGATTATGTCTTAAGTTCAGGAAACACTTCTTTGCAATCAATAAAATGGAAACTATTCCTAATGTGATTTTCTCGGGAATAAATTCCTACGTATTCATCAATTTATATAAATATTTAGGTAGACCACTGCTATTGGTTAAGAATAATATACTGTTACGATATCGCTAACGCCAGGCCAGAAGAACAGCGTCCGCCGCCAGGCTGTCAAGAATCTAGCGAATTATTCTACGATAATCTGGAAAATAAGATTATAGTGTGAATTCTAGATTTTACAGGAATAGATTTAGGGATATATAAGAAGGCCGGCATTGGTTTTGTAAGTTAAGTTTCAGTTTGACTGTGATACGATTTAAATAGTGATTATTGCGAGTTGTAAGAGTTTAATTGTTGAGTTTGTTATTAAAGAAATTAGTGTCAGAATGTATTGTTAAGTGGAATAAATTATTGCTGTGTTAATTGGACTTTGATTTTTGGAATAAACGAAACGAACAACGAACCCAAGATTTCTGTCAGGCAATCAAAAGCTGTGACATTGGTGCCAGAAGTCGGATATAAAGGACTGCAGAGTGAAATCCAAGTGCGGGGACACTAGTGTAGTGTAAAAACTGAACACTAAGTGAACACTGGGACAGTTAGTGCAGTGCAAACAGTGGCAATCACAAAAACAGACTCAACCGATCGTGTGAATTACCCCGGAAGTGACTCTATACCCGATTTAGACTGTGATAGTGAATCTTCGAGTGAGTTCTAGAAAATTCTATTTGGAAACTAAGGGAGATATCGAATTTGTGACTTCGCCGACGTATTCGGAACATCAATCGTCATTCAGAAGAGGTTTTTCGAGGAGTTTCGGGAAAATTCTAGAACATTCTATTTGGAAACCAAGGGAGATATCGAAATTGTGGCTTCACCGACGTGTTTGCTGTATCAATCGACATCTAGAAAAGAAGTTTCAAGAAAATTCCAGAACATTCTATTCTAGAATAAAGCAAGTTATCCAATT